CCAACAACACATCAATCTGGACGCAAGATTGGCCTGGGCCACACATCGTCCTGTACAAACTGAACTGAACTGAACTGAACTGAAGCAAGGTCTCAGGATCAGATAAGGTCGGGGAACATGGCAGCCCAGCTCTTGTCCAGTCTGGCCTTGAACTGCACTACATTCTGGGCTGAAACTACCTTCTCTGGCAGTCTGTTCCATGCGTTTACCGCCCTATGGGAGAAGTTCGACCTTATGCTCCTCAGAGCTCTGGGTTTGCTCAATTTCAGGACAGGACAGGACAGGACGGTTCAAAGGACGTGCGTCTTGAGTCAAGTCAAGTCAGCTCGCGGGACTTTAGGCTTCGACCAGTGGACGTCCAGGTTCTTGCACTTGTGAGCTGGTGATTCCACTGTGCTGCGACTACCGGGTAGTTCCAAAGTTGTGATGGGTATTGTACCTACAAGAGCAGGATCGCCCTCTGGGTAACAGTGGTCTCAATCATTTGACAGGCGCCGCACCTCAGCGGACTGCTACTCCTGCCATGAGAGCTTCCCGGGGGCTGATGACAGAAAACAAATTGTGTTAATTGTGCGTGATGCAAAGGAGTTATGTTAGAAATGGGCAACGGCTACAAAAGGAGGATGTGGGTAGTGATTAAGACTTGTACTAGTCACTCTCTGGAAGCACCTCGTCCCAGCAGTTGTCTAGTCTCCGCTTGAATTGCAGAGTAAAATATGCTGCTACTACTGTAGGTGGAAATTTGTTACATGCGTTTACCACGCGGTGGGAGAAAAACTGTGCCCTGGCACTTCCATTGGCCCGTGGTTTCATCAGCTTCAGGTCATGCCCTCTTAGGGTTGGGTTGAGGTTTCGTGTAAACAAGGATCTATCTGTTACTGACAGTCCTTTGAGCTGTTTGAACGTCTCAATCAAGTCCCCCTCAGGTGACGGCGATGCAATGGAAATAAATTAAGGGCCGCCAGCCTTTCTTTGTAGGACTTTCCCTGCAGTCCACTGATCATCCAGGTGAACCTTCTTTGTACTGCTTCAAGTAGTTGTTTATCCCTTACTAGGGGAGGGCCCACGCTTGGACACAGTGCTCCAAACGTGGCCGCACAAACGCCTTATACACTGGCAAGATTGACGAAGCCTCCCTCGATAGTACCGTTCTGCAGAGTTAAAATAGGGTTCTATTGGCCTTCGTTGCGGCTGCCGCGCATTGCATTGAGGGCTTAAGGGAGGAGGAGTGTACCTGCACCCCTAGATCCTTGACTACATCTGCAGGTTCTATGGTGTTCATCGACCCGGCGCCTAGTTGTCGCACCTCTGCGGACCCTCTATTTAGCAGCAGGTGTCTGTATTTACTGCCGTTGAGAGGTAGTTTCCACGAGGCCGCCCAGTCATTAATTGCGTTGAGTGCATCCTGTAGATCCCCCGATGAGGGATTCCCTACTACTTTTAAGTCATCTGGGAATAGGAACCCAGGGCACCGGAAGACCTCAGTGACGTCATTTACTTACAGCACGAATAGTATAGGACCAAGGACTGAGCCTTGAGGTACCCCACTAAGGACTGCTGCCGTCCCCGAGGTTTCCTGTTCGACCCTTACAAGGAACGTCCTTCCGTGCAGCAACGCTTTGATCCACTTCACTAACTGCTGGTCTACGCGTAGGGCTTTCCTGAAATCGAGGTAGGCACATCTCGACTCGATCCCCGGTGTCCAAACTGTCTGTTACCTCGCCCAGAAATGATAGGAGGTTAGTGAGACACGACTTTCTGTTGACAAAGCCGTGTTGTTGGCAAGCTATGAGGTGTTGGTCGTCCAAGTAACCCACTAACTTCTCCCTGAGGAGCCGCTCGAAGGCTTTTAGGACAACCCAAAACAGGCTTACTGGACGATAGTTCGATGCAGCCGCCCTTGATCCTCCCTTGTGGATTGGCGCCACTTCTGCCGTGGTCCAGTCGGCCGGCAGCTTTACAGACCCAAGGGATCGGTTGTAAAGCTGAGTAAGCGCACCTGCAATAATGTCAGCAATGGGCCGCAGTATTGCTGGATGCAGCCCATCCGGGCCCGTGGCCTTGTTCTGATCTAGTTGTTTCAGTGCTGCTTCTACCTCCTTTGCCTCTAATACAAACGGGGCCATGCGCTGTTCGGGAAATCTACGCAGAAGGTCAGGCAACGACCTTCCCAGGTCCGTTAAATGGATCTTCTCGAAGAAGCTCTTTAGAACATCAGCCTTCTCCCTGCTGGAAGCTGCGCTGACACCTGCATTTACTACATCACCAACCGCAACCCTAGAGTGAGCCTTGAACTGCACATAGTTGTAGTAGGTTTTTGGTCGCTGTTTGGCATTGCGAGCAATCCTACTCTCGTATTCCCTTTGGCAGTGTCTCTGAATCCTAAGTGCCTTTTCTCTCACCACCCAATAACTCAGGTGCTGACGATGGCCACCTCCGTTCCTGAGATAGTTCCAAGCCCTCCGGTTTATGGCTTGTGCCCTGACTACTTTTTTGCCCACCAAGCTGGATCCTTCTCAGGGGAGCAAAAACGTCTGTGAGCCGGTTGATGCTGTCTTTGAATAACTGCCACTCCTGCTCCACGGTGTGGAGGCCATCTTTTGTCCACTGGATTACCTCTGCTACTTGCCTGAGCCCCAGGACTTCCAGCTTCCTATAGTCCCTCCTGAGCTTATGTGGGACCAAAGGAGGATGTTCCCTGATGTGGGACCTAAGTATTCCATGGTCACTACGCCCTAAGGGAGCAGAAACCCCGAGCTGTTCCACATCCTGCGGCATATTGGACAGAATTAGGTCCAACATGCTAGGCCTTTGCCCCTCCTGCCATCTAGTGGGTTGATTGTCGTGCAGCACCAGGGGTAGCACTGTCATCAAGTCCACTAGTTTTCTAGCAAAATCAGAGCGAGGGGCCCACAGGCTTTCCCAGTCTACCTCTGGAGAGTTGAAGTCACGCATGATGACCAACCGCTCCGCATGGTTGCTTACCCTGGCCAGATAGTCGCACAGTTTGCCAACCTCCTCCTCATCTGAAAGTGGTGCTCTATAGGCACCTGCTACCGTCACAATACAGTTCGAGGATTGTGTGGTGTATGAGCACGCCTGGATATTCGAGATGGACATGTGATCGCCCTCGGCCTGATCTAGAGTGTCCGAAACAAGGAGCAATATGCCATCTCCACCCCTACCATCTTTCCTGTCCGACCTGTACGCGGAGTACCCGGTGAGTTGAAGGCTCTCCGTTGTGATGGCCTCGTATTACCATGTCTCGGCAATTGCAATACGGTCTGATCCTACGGTTATAGCCCTTGTCTAGATTGCAGGCGTTCGTGAAAAATGCTAATAAACCTCCAGCGCAAGCCCCCTTCCAGCCTTGATGTCACTAAAGTCTAGTGTGCACTCGGGCAAACTGCCCGAGAACCCTCTGCGATTTTTGCCGCTGGCATACTCTTAACCCTCAGTCGCTGAGGCGCCGCAGAGGGAATGACGTCAATACTGGCCCTTCGAGTCACCGTAGTCCACAAGTACTTACCCGTCTCTAACTGAGTAGGCACAACATCCTCCGGCCTGTCCTTACGATTAGCTGTGACCACAGTCATCCGTCCTACTAGCGTGGGCTCAGGGCCTTCATCGTTACGTCTGTGTCCCGTGGGAGATAGTGTTGGTGTAATTGAGCCGGACCTGGGAGTGGATGTGGTACGTTGAGCAGCGCTTGCCGGTGACTGATGCTGTTACTGCTGCTACTCCATCGTCATCCCTAACACATCCCACAGCCTCTCTCAGTGCAGTCTTTGACTGCACATAATTGAAGTAGGCTCTGGTTTGGGTTTTCGCATGTGGGGCCAACTTCTCCTCATACCTGCTTCGGCATTCATTTTGCACCCTGGACGCTGTTTTTCTCGCCACTTTATAGCGCAGGAAGTCGCGATGTGTTTCGGTGCGCCGCTATCGCCGCCAAGCTGACTGTTTCCTCTGGCTGGCCTTTGTCACCTTGCTACTCCATCAAGGTGGAGCACCCCTGCGTCTGACCTACTTGATTGGTGCAGCTTGGTCTGTGAGTGCCAATATGTTGTTCTTAATTCGACACCACTGTCGCTCAACATATAGCTCTCCCTCTTCTACCATTCAGTTGCACCAACGACCCGAGTAAGACAGTGCGGGGTGACTCATGGACCAGAAGGTCCTGTATTTCATGCTGAATATTTTGAAAATCCTTCCGAATCTAGACCTGATTCTTGGTCTATTCCCTGAACGGTAAACACCTCCCTGCCTGTTGTGTTTCGTCTATGCGTACGAATGGCACGAGCGACTCTTGCTTAACCCCCAACGACAACGCGGAGAGAGAACACAGGTTGAGACACAGTCAGCGTGTATTCTTCGATAAGTTATCGATATAAAAAAAAATATAAAACTAATCGTGCATACGAGGACGGCGCCGTGACGCACCAATCAGATAGTGTCCTTGACATATCGATTTATCGATTGGACAAACATTGGCTGATACGTTCTGTGATCATCCAATCAGGTTCAGCCTGTCTGGAGCGTTGCGAGCGTGCGTGTGGCCTGACTCGGAGGCGTGCGCGATCGGACGGGTTTCTTAGGCTCCGTCCTAACACTGCCTCATGGCATTATTCATATCATGTTCGGCGTTTTTTCCTGTACTTCCCGATTTCCTGCACTGCATGCAGCTACTGCACCCTTTTCCCCTCCTCTTACCTCATTTTAGGTGACCTTCTTGTACAAACAGGAAGCGGATTCACTCTAACTACCTAACATCCGCCCACAGAAGAAACCTTGGAAACTACTAAGATCCGGGACCATTGAGCCCAGCCTCGCACCCGTGTAATACTTCAAGACTTCAAGACTTCCTTCTATGCGATTGTCTTCCTTATCGGTTATGGAGACAGTCAAGCCTTTTGGTATTAACGACTCGATGTCTTCATTCAGCAGAAATCAGGTTTCGGTTATCGCCATGCAGTCGGAGTGAATGCATCCCGAGGTTTATTCATCCCATTTGTTCCCCAGGCTGCAGGTATTTGTGCTGAACACCCGGAGGCCTGAAATGTGAATAATGATGGGAACTTGGGGGTAACACTCGGGCTCTAGTCCCGAGTTAGCCCTGCGTTTTTTGCAACGGAGGGTTTACGAGGTATGCCAGGCGTTTCTAGCCTGGGCCTGCGTTTTAGGCTAGGCGGCTGCGGGTTGGCTGGGGTGTGCGACCCGGGCTGACTAGTAGGAGGTACAACCACAGTGGGTGTTTCCTTTGTCACCTTTGCTACCAACTTAGATAGTCGCAGAGAAGGTAACTTCATGGATGTTAGAGTGGGAAGCAGTTTCTCTAATCGACCCTTTCGAGTATTGCCTGGTTCTACAGATATCTCCCCTTTGGTCTCTGCCCTCAGTTGAACCGAAGCTACGAGGAAGGAATAACGGTGCTCTTGAGGAAAGGGTTGTTATCTGTATGAGTGGGGGAGCTTCCGTGCTGGTAATTCCTTTCAGGAGCTTGAAGGTCTCTAAAAGATCTCCCCCCAATGCTTACCTTTTGAGGGAGGAAACTACTAACCTCTCCAGTCTCTGGGTGTACGTCAACCATTGGGAGAAATTTCGTGAATCTCCTTTGTATCCTTTCAAGCGTGTTCATGTCTCCAACTTTATTTGGTGCCCATGCCTGGACTCCATACTATGAATGGGGACGAACGCCTTATACAGTGGGAGCAGAACTACTGGGTCCCCGGATGCAACGGTGCGTCAAAACTGAAACAGTGCCCTTGGAGCCTTCTCAGCAGCCTCAGGACATTACCAGAGGGATATCAGGGTTAAGGTAGCCTACTACAGGGAAATCGTCATGCACTAACTGCCTGCACTTGCTGGCGTTGATTGGTAGGCCCCAGACCACGGACTCATTGGGAAAAGGTAAAAAAATCGTGGAATTACAGGCCTCGTACCCGTTGTACTTCATGTTTATTTTTGAAAATCCTTCCGAACCCATGATGATTTATGGTGGAATAAGTCTATCTATGTGTTGCTTCTCTATTGACCTTTCTCAATCACAGACACATTATTCTTTATCTAATAATTCGATGTCCGGCACATTTGAATTTTGCGTGGTTTGAGAACAGGAGCGACTGTTTGCCTCTCTCTGGATATCTTATTTGGCTCGCTTGTTTGAGTGCTCTCGGCCGCATATTTGAGGTGTGCTTTGTTGTACATTTCTCTCTAATTCAGTACCGTAGAACATTGCGGATCAATCGTGTTTTATTTCGGGATTCGTATCAGTTCGGCTACGCGTCACTCAAGTGCGAATTGGTTGACATACAGTACTCAAATTAGAATCAAACGAAAAAACCATTTCGAAGATGCCCAGACGAGGAACCAAGGAAACTGGAACCCAACAGAACGTAACCAGGCAAGTCACTGGGAGGATGTGGGTCATTTTGATTCTTTAGAAAATGGTAATTCTGTTAGTCCTGTCAGTGGTGTTTCATGTGCAGATTGAAATATTAAGGATATTGATATATTTAGATTGCGGGTTTCTGAGTTAGAGCATGAGTTGAAATTAGCTAGACAGCAGATAGAACAGGCCAAATGTGAAAAAATTAATTTCAATCGCACAGCACCATCTCGAGCTGAGACTGCACACAGTTGCTTCTCTCCGAACAAACAATCCGTCCCTCAGCAAAGAAAGTATGTCCATGTAAACGTCGATTTGTCAAGAGTTGAACTGACACCTTTCGATGGCAATACCGAACAATATTGCTAATCAACTCGCCAATACGAAACTTTCGTTGAATGTAAAACCGACAATGCAAGGCAAAGGTTTGTGTTTTTGCTACACTACTGTCGGGGGAAGGCTAAGGAGGCCATACAAGGGTGTGCAATCCTGAACCCGAAAGTGGGCTACCCGAGAGCCGGAAATATATTGAACGAGATATTTGACCAACCATTCTGAGTAGAACGAAACATGATTGACGAGGTGCTAGCAGAGGCAAGACGCAAACGAGGCGATACTAGGTCTCTATCAGACCTTTTCATCAAGATGCAGAACTGCAGCATCGCCCTCAATCACCTCGAATATCAGTCGGACCTGGTTGCACTTCACACGCTGGAATCGATTGTCAGATGTTTGCCGGCCGAAATGCAGACAGCCTGGGCGACCGAGGCCGATCGAATCGAGGAAAGGAACAGAGAGGCGACATTTGACGAACTCGCACAATTCATAGGTTGCCAATCTCGCATAGCAAATAGTCGATTCAGTCAATTGGCGAGGGAAAGCATCAGAACCGCTAGACCTTCAACCAATTTTTCTCCATCTGGATATCAAGGTTCCCATCTCCCAAACAACTGGCCCAGCATCAACTTAAGCTCATATGACACACAAAGACCGATTGAATGCAAAGTGTGCATAGGTGTCCACAAGCTTTTTACCTACCCAGAGTGTTTGGCAATGACGGTGATGGACCGCTGGACAGTAGCTAAGTGGACAGGGTCCTGCTTTGTGTGCTTGAGCGATACCCATAGAGCAGCTCTTTGCAGAAACCGAACCAACTGTGGCTAATTGCGCTACACCGGGCGTGTTCCACAATTTGCGTGAATCGTCTCCGATTGGAAATTACCTCAATACTTCGAATGGGTGGCTGCAGGATTGCGATAAAACGGAAGAAAATGGCGAAAATATCCAGCGGAAANATCCTGAAGGTTAGGAAGGGTGGGAAGCTAAACCTCTCGAGGTCTGCATAGTGACGAGATTTCACCCAGGTGAGTCAGTTAGCAGTCTGTTGCTGGTTTGACCGTTTACACCCTGAGCTACTTATCATTATTAATTATTAGATCTCTGGATTCTCTCCGCTATATATCTCTTACATTTATTTTGCTTGTCTACATTAGTTACCGTATATTCCTCTGTTTCACCGCCTATCATGCATGCGATGTGCGGCAACCAGCGGTGTATAAAGGGTGTGGCCTCGGGGGGAATACAGTGCGACACGTGCCTAAGATGGTTCCATCTCAGATGTGCAGCAGTTAGTAAAAAAGATT